AGTCTGGAATGGTCTCTGATAACTGCCATGTGTGACACTCCAAACAAAGCTAACATTCTTACTTATTTCTTTATATTTATTTCTATAAAATTTAAATATGCATTTATGCACTTATATCATCTATATTGACAAAACATGTAACTATAATGATATCAAAATTATGACTCATATTTCAACTAGCAAGCACTTTTTTCCATTTGCATTTTTTAGGGTGTGTGTGTGTGTGTGTGTGTGTGTGTGTGTGTGTTGTTTGGGGGCCACACCCAGTGATGCTCAGGGTTTACTCCTGACTTAAGGATCATTCCTTGGCAGGCTCGGTGGACTATGTGTGATGCCAGGGGAATGAACCCAGGTCAGCCAGCGCAAGAAAAGCACCCTTACCCTCAGTACTATGGCTCCAATCCATGCTTTTCTTTTCTTGCCTGGAAAACACAATTGATACAAGGATGTCAAAGAAAATTCTGAGAAGCTGGTGAAGCAAGTCACAAAAAAATATATAGAATCAATTCATACCTATCTTCACAAACTGGAAGTTAAGAAAAATAAATCTCAACACTTACGAAGCAACTGTTATACACAGACAAAAATACTAGTCCCTGACAATATTCTTGCTTATGATTAACTATTTGGGCAGACATAATAATGTATAGATGTAATATTATTAAAAGTAGTATTAGTTTATCCACCAGACTCATTAATAACTCTTTTAAGAACCATGGCTCAGGGATATGGCTCAGTGAGCGGTAAAGGACTTGCCTTGTCTGCGTGAAACTCAAGATTAAAGACAAGCAAGCTAAAATTCTGAGTAGTGGCCTCAAAAGGAAAATTACTCTTTTTCCTGCTAGGTTTTAAAAGTTTCTTTATCTGAGCTCTGAAAGCACTCTCGATTTTGTTGCAGGATCATTGGGCAAGATGTATAGGGGGATTAAGAAAGAGGGGGAGAAGAGCAGTCTTTGTATAGATTGTTAGAACCATATTAGAAAAAAAAAATTCTGCATTTCTCTTTTCAAACACCTTAGCACAGAATGTATCCTCAAAATCGTTAGCACAAGTAGGAGACTCACAGATCCTTCTGGTTGAATACAAGACTGTCTTTAACTTCCTAAAGTGAGGATACACAATTCACCATAAAGCCAGAATATTAGGAGAGAAGAACATCCACTGAGGAATTAGCCAGTGCTCCTACACAATAAATTAAATGAGCAGATCTTACTGTGATGGATCCTATGAATACATAACTGAGTGTCTATAAGGAAGCATACTATACTCTGAGAAAATTGTCTTGGTTTATTTCTAGAACTCTGGGTTTGCTAAGAGTTTAAGGTGAAATCCATGACTTTGACAATTATATAAATTCCACCCTGCTCAGCTGATGCAGAACAAGGTTTAAAGCCATTTTCCAAAGGCTTTAGGTACTTTAAAGTGAACAGAGCCTTTACTTCACAGCATGACTTCCTCATTCAAGAATAAAATAGAACTTGCAGAGCAGCAATAAAAATGATACCAAATAAAAGTCTGTGCTTTGTTGAGTGGGGTAAGAGCCCAGAGCAATATTTTAATTCAAGCAGAAAAGCAAAAGTTTCACATTATTGGTCTGACACACCACTTCATGCTCAAAGACACACATCTCTGCTGTGATGAATATATGCATAGCAAAGAAGCATGTCTCTCAAGTCTTAGCCTCTGAGGAGGTTTTTTTTTTAATAGTGAAGTTTAAACATGTATAGGTTCTCTACTAAAAGAGCAAAAATAACTCAAAGGTTTAGTAAAATAAATTCTGGAAACATCAAGTGTTATTCATTTTAGTCTTCCATACATCAGCTGGTGGGAACTCAGATATTAATGAATTCTTATGGGTTTAACTCCACAGGTTTCTGTTTGCCTACTGTTATTTTGGAGGTAGGAGTGGGGATAATTTGTTCATTTGAAAATATTTATTATTTCATTTTAGGGTTTGGGGCCATATCTTGCAGTGCCCAGAATTGGCTCTACACTCAGGGATCATTCCTGGTGGGGCTGAGTTGACCATATGGGTGGTGAGGAGAACTTGGATCCACAGTATTCAAGGCAAGTGCCATACCCGATGTGCTATCATTCCAAACCCTTATTTGCAAGTATCTGTTTATTGATCATTGACATAGAATTTTCTATGAGATTGCTACATTTTTATACTAAACACTAGGAAAGCTTCATTCACAATCAGATTCTTTCTAAAAAGTAACTACATGAAAGGTAAAGGGAGCATGTATTTGTTTGAGGGTCATACTCAGTGGTGCTCAGGACTAACCCCTGGCTGTGTGCTGAGGGATCATTTAGGACATGCTCAGGAAACCATACGAAGTTCCAGGAATAGAATCTGGATCAACTTCCTGCAAGACAAGGGTTACAACTACATCCTGTAAAGGGGGAAATCTTTTCCTCAAGAAAACTTGAGGAAAAAGAAAAAAAGTGGAATGAGCTCTGTGATATAGAGCATATTGCAAATTAAAACTTGCAAGTTGCTTCCAGTCATTAATAACTTCTCAGATAACACTACTTAAAACACAAAAACTAGTACCTGTCATTTTTTAAAAAAATCTGTGGTCTTTGTTTTTAAATTAAAAAAAATCTTGGCCAAGGTCAAAGTAACAAAAGTTACAGTGCCTTAAAGAATGTTTGCGGTTTCAGTTCTATTTGTTATCTGTCCTGCAATAATAATTTTAAACAACCAATAAAAGAGACAAGTGTTAACAAGAAAGTGGGTAGTTGGAAATATATTTCATTCCATTTTAAATTTATTGTTTCTACATAAAACAGGTTCAGACAGTAATGTGCAATTTATTTGTCCATATAAGTGTAGAGAGTTTGGTCTAAAACTATGAATCTAGGATTTACTGGGTCTACTCTGAATTTAATGTTTTTTTAATTCATAAATGCATATTCTGCTCTAATTAAGGAAGCTAAACAATATACTGAGAGCATGAAGAGGCCATGTATTCTCACAACTAAAGTTTCATAAGTTAGAGGATTTTTTTTATTCAGTATCTAATTAATAACATGTCCATTTTTTTCCTTCAAAGTCTAGAGTATAAAAGTGGTACCAAACCTTCTAGATATTTACTATATAAATAAAATTTAAGTTTTTCCCTAGTTCAAATGATGGTGAAATTTGACCACTCTGATACAATTCCTTCCTTCCTTCCTTCCTTCCTTCCTTCCTTCCTTCCTTCCTTCCTTTTATCCTTTTATATTGTATTAAGTGTCATGGGGGTCTAGAGTAATCTCATGGTCCACAGAATTTATGCTTGGGTCTATGATTAGGGATCATTCTCTACTCTGTGTTCAGAAATCCATATGCAGTGCTATGCATATAAATTAGGTCAGTTGTGAGCAAGGCAAAAGTCCTAACCCCTATGCTATCTTTCCTTCAAAAGTTTTTATTTTTCTATGAAATTTGTTGAAATCAATATTGCAACCAAAACAGTGTGACAATTTTTAGTACTTATTTTGATATTTTTGACAGATACGTACAGACGATCATATATTCAACTCCAAAATTATGAAATAGATTATTTCCATTATTAAAAAAAATACTTCTTTCCCATTGCTATTTTTTCACTTTCCTCACTCCTAAACCCTATATCCTTAATTCTACTTTGCTATGTTAGGTACCATTTCTGGAATAAAAATATAAATGTATATCATGTGCCCTATACTTGATCCTTTTAATTTATCATTATGTTTTTGAAATCCATTATCTTTTAATCTATAATTTACTTTTTATTGTAGGATCTTCTATTGAATAACAAGCAAAAATTTGTTCATTTTTCTGTAAATTAATGGTCACTTGGACTGATTGCATATCTTGCTTATTATAAATAAAGGTGTTACAATTGTTCAAGTAAAAGTCCTTGTGTGGTTATATTTTTAACTTCTATTTGGGTCTATATTTAATAATACATTTTATGAATCACATAGTAATTGTATTCTTTGTTCTGTCTAATATTATTTTGGGACACATTCAGTTGTGTTTAGGACTTACTCCTAGCTCTGTGTAAGTAGGAATCACTTTTGGTGGTGCTCAGGGGATCATATGTGATGCTGGAGTTAGAATCTGGCCTAGTACAATACAAAAATACATATTTTGTATTTTTTCCAGATGGCAGATAGGTACATTATTTTACTAATTAAAAAAAGCTGCAATTTATTTTACAAAGCAATTACCATTTTGATTCCCAACCAATAATCCTTAGAGTCTTCATTACTTTGGGGCATCTCACATATTCACTTGACTTAAGCCTCAGTTGTCCTTAGTTCCTAACACCCCCAAAAGCATTACATATCCCTGAGCAGAGTTTCAAGAGTGAACACAGAACCAGGACTTATTAAGTCCTGAATGCACAAAACAAATATAAACATATAAAAATATCACATTTTAAACAGATTTAAAATAATATGGATCGCTAACATACAAAAAAATTCTTACATACTGAGATAAAGGTTATTTCATGTTTGCTAACAATACCCATATGCATCATATCATGGAGTGACAACTATCAGTTCAAACATCAATATTTATCTATAAAGTATATTTCTAGAATGAGTACTATACGAGCTATTTCTATGTTTGTTCAAATGTATCTATTATTTAGATTTCTTATTTTACCTGTCAGTAGCTAAACAGTTACACCCTCCAACTGCCGTGTAACCCCAACAATGGCCAGGATCCAGAGATTATCACAACAAGCTCCCGGGAGTGCGCGGCCATGCGGCCGCGCGACTATTTATTTACTTTTCTCTAAGTTTTCAGGGTACCTTAAATATCCAACCCACACGGCAGAGCCTGGCAAGGTATCCGTGGTCTATGCCAAATAGACCAAATTGATATGCCAAATCCAGTAATAAATGGATCTCATTTCCCTAACCCTGAATATGCAGAGTCGAGAAGGATATGGAAGAAGAGGCTGATAAAACACCAAGGCAGACATAGGCTGCCAAAACACAGAAAAACAAAAATTATTGTCTGTACTTTTAATGCTCGTATGCTGGCATCTATTGCATCCATTGAAGACCTTATGGTACAAGCGCGAAAGATCAAGTACGACATCATTGGTCTAACCGAAACGAGAAGACATCAATCCCATTATGCTGTTTTCGACACTGGAGAAGAACTGTTCCTTGGAACCTGTGATAAAAGAGGCGTCGGTGGTGTCGGTATCCTTGTCAACACAAACTTAGTCACGAGCATTGATTCATTCGAATGCCTAACAACCCGAATTGGACGATTACACTTGAATAAATGTGGCTCACTACCGGCAGTTTCTATCCTTGTTGTCTATGCACCAACATCCAGTTATGGTGAAAGAGAAACTGAGAAATTCTACATGGAGCTGGAGAAGTTCTATAAAGAAGATCACACCTTCTACAAGATCATTGTTGGTGATTTTAATGCCAAGATAGGACCAAGAAGATCAGCGGATGAACTCCACATCGGAACCCATGGCCTGGAATGGAACGAACAGGGTGACAGACTGTCTGAGTTCATCATGTCAACCAAAACCTTCCATGGTAACTCACAATTCCAAAAGGCTGAATATAAATGTTGGACATGGGAGTCTCCCGATGGACAGTTCCACAATGAAATAGACCACATCATATTCAATCGGCGGTTTTGCCTAACCGATGTTGCTGTTGTCCCAAAATTCCAAACGGGATCAGACCACCGTCTTCTTCATGCAAAATTCTACCTCACAGAACGAGGAGAAAAGAATGCAAGGTTTAAGAAGAGGACTCCCAGAACAACCACCAACTGGGAGCTCTTTGGCTCTATTGCGGCAACATGGGAAGATGCCGTCATTGACAACATTGATGAGGAATACGATCAAATGATTCAGCACCTCCATGATTGTGCAAGGAATGCCAAGAGAGAAATCACCACAAAAAACTGTCTTTCTTCGAACACTCTTGAACTTATTCGCCAATGTGGCTTGGCACATGCCTCAGGCAACCACAAGCGAACATCCGAACTGGCAAAACAGTGCAGAGAAGCCATCAAGGATGACCTCAAAAACAGGAGAGCAGCAGTACTGGTAGATGCAGCAGAAGCTGGGAAAAACATTCGTAATGCCCGCCTGTCCTTCACCAACTACAAAACCAAGATGACTGCCCTCCGACATCATGATGGATCTATCACATCTTCCAGAAGGGCAATGGAGAAGATTATTCATGACTTCTACTCAGATCTCTTTAATAGCCACATCCACTTGCCCACATACCACATACCACATGATGGATATGTCGTTCCCAATGTTCTCCCTTCCGAAATCCAACATGCCATCTCGTCGGTAAAGAAACAAAGAGCACCTGGCCCAGACAAGATCAGACCTGAACACCTGAAGAACTTACCATCAGTACTCATCAATACATTGGCTCGACTCTTCACACGCTACCTGTCTGAATGCAAGGTTCCATCCCAATGGAAAACCAGCAAGACTGTACTACTATACAAGAAAGGAGACATCCACGACATTGGCAACTATCGCCCAATCTGCCTATTGTCTGTCATCTACAAACTATTCACTCGAGTCATCCTGAATAGGATTAGCAGAACACTAGATGAAGGACAACCATGTGAACAAGCTGGATTCCGAAAAGGATTCAGTACCATCGACCATATCCACACAATAACCAAGCTCATTGAGGTATCTCGGGAGTTCAAGATGCCGCTCTGTCTAACGTTCATTGATTTAAAGAAGGCCTTTGATTCTGTTGAGACGGAAGTGGTCATGGAAGCCCTAGCCAATCAGGGCATACAAACTCAATACATCAGGATCCTTCGTGAGCTCTATTGCGGATTCACTACCAAAATCTCACCATTCTACAAAGAAGTAATCATCCATATGAAGAGAGGGGTTCGGCAGGGTGATACCATTTCACCAAAACTCTTCAGTGCCACCCTCGAGAACATCATGCGATGAGTGGAATGGGAAAACATGGGAGTGAAGATAGATGGTCGGCAACTACACCACCTCCGCTTTGCTGATGACATCGTTCTAATAACACCAAATATCAGCCAAGCGGCACAAATGCTGAACAACTTTGACCGTGAATGTGGAAAGGTCGGACTACAGCTGAATCTTACGAAGACAATGTTTATGAGAAACAGCCTTGTTCTTGACGCTCCATTCGCTCTCAACGGAACCACCATCTCCGAATGCAACAGTTATATATACCTAGGTCGAGAAATCAACATGATGAATGACCTGGCACCTGAGTTGCGCAGGAGGAAGAGAGCGGCTTGGAATGCCTTCAAGAGCATTGAAGAAATAACTAAAAGGACAAAGAACCTCCAGCTACGAGCACATCTCTTTGATTCCACTATTCTTCCTGCATTAACATATGCCTCAGAGACCTGGACCCTACGAAAACAGGATGAGAACGCTATTCGGGTCTCTCAAAGAGGAATCGAAAGAACTATGCTTGGAATATCACTATTCACTCAAATGAGAGATAGAATCCGGAGTTCTGATCTTCGTCAACGCTGAAGAATTAGGGACGCTGTCTCATTTGCCAAGACATCAAAAATCAGATGGGCTGGACACGTAATGAGGTTTACAGACAACCGCTGGACTAGAGCCATTACTGATTGGATTCCACGGGACATCAAAAGATCACGTGGACGTCCACCTATAAGATGGTCAGACTTCTTCGTCAAGACCCTAAATGATCGGTTTGAGGCTCTGCATGTTCCTAGAACGAACAGATACCATTGGGCTACGCTAGCACGCAACCGGGATGAATGGAGACGGTACTGGCACCCGCTCGAATAAATCGATGAATAACGGGGATTAAGTGATTAAGTGATTAATTGATTTTACCTTCAGTAAAAAGTTATGCATAGATGGGTAAAAGTTGAAACCCCGTTCTTCTGAATCTTCTTTATGCCATACTAAGTGAAAGAAATATAATATGAATTAATTTCAGAGCAATTACCAAGATAAATCAAATTATTATTGAACATCACATTATTTAAAAAGTTGTGTCAAAGCAAAGAAACAGATGTTACATATGTTTGTCTTGATTCCAACTCTATTTGTCCCTCCAACTTGTGTTAATTTGGAAACAAGTCGTTTGATGAGCACATATATGAGGAAAGGCTTGGAAAATTCCCAGACTGTAAGACTCCATATACAAAAAAATAGAAACTCAACAAAGAGACTTTGAACAAGCAGAGCATGCCATTTTCCAAGATAGCTTCTGTGTAAAATAGAGTAAATAAGCTAAAAGCTTGTATGCTATATTCTAGCTGTGGGTAGAGGGCTCTTCTAGGATATACTTAAGCGAGATTGAGAGGAAAGAGAACCTAGTTTCTCTACTAGAACATAAATTTTTAGTTCAATTTCATTTTTCTTACTATTCAGTTGGGAGGGAAATATATATATGTACACACACATATATGTATATGGAAAGTAAAATCTAGTGCTTATAAGATAGGTCTGAAGAGAAGTAACAAAGCTTATAGGTAAGATGAGACTGGTCAGAATTGCTTGCTATAAACATTAGTACGTTTTTAATACCTCATAAATAAATGAAAAATGGAAAGAAAGAATAAAAGGAACAAGTACAGGAAGTGCAGGAAGAAAATTTTATATAAATAGAGAATATGAAAAATAGAAAAAAAAATACTGGTAAGAGAAATATTTTAAAACTGAATTCCCAAATCATTCGTACTTTTTGCAGATGTTTCAATCTGCTCTTTAAATAGTGATCATTCATAAGGGGGTATGGTGCCACCAACAAGTCAATCTGTACCTGTGAGGCGACTGCATCAGTGTCCTGATGGCGGCTTCATACTTCCAGATAAACCAAAATTGCTGCTATGCCTTTGGCCAGACCCCAAGAACTTGGGGCAAAGTTTACCAAGAAAGTAAACGGCCAAAAGTTAGGTATGTGGGAAACACACCCACAAACCACCTCTGGCTCAGCTATATAATTGGAGGCATGGCCTCTCTGGTTCCTGATTAAACCGCTTAATGGCCATGATCCCAGAGACTCAGAAACAAATCTCAAAACCCAGCGGCTTTTGGCAGAAATGTGTATGGTCCCTGCAGTAGGTTACTGGTGCTGGGCCAACCCAGGTGGGAATACGTTTCATGCCTTGGCCTGTTCCCCCTGGCAGCCCGGAGGCCACCATCCTCCAGAGGCCACTGGACAGTCAGGTTTGGACCCGCAGTGACAAGACATGCAGGACCTCAAGGGATGGGGATGGAGCTGGCCCTTTCCTCCCCACCCCAATGAGACCCCAAGTCATTGCCCACGAACGTCCTCTCTGGCTCCTGATCAAGCTGCTTAATGGCCATGATCCCAGAGACTCAGGAGCAAATCTCGGAACCCAGCAGGTTTGGGCAGAAATCCCTCTAGATTTAAGTGTTAAAATTTAGGAATTTCAAAATTGCATGGCCACTACTGCAGCCATGCAACATCATATATTACTCATAACCAGCAATAGAAAACAAATTGTCTACTGTTGCCTTTTCAGCACATCTGAGTGTTGGGGTAAAATCTCAAATAATAATGGTGTGTCTGGTGTCAAAATATTGAATGTGATCAAAGTAGAGAGATAGTAATGTGGAAATCATCTGCCCCACAGGTAGTGGGAGGGAGTGGAATGGGGGTATACTGAGGTTGTTGGAGGCGGAGAATGGGCACTGGTGAAGTTACAAGTGTTTCATTGTATGACCAAGGCTTGGATCTGAAAGCTTTGTAACTGCTCTCACAGTGATTCAAAAAATAAAATTACAAAAAACAAAATAAAAAAGTAAAGTGGAGTTCATGCACAATTCAATCAGCTAATCAGTGGCTGAATAAATAGCAGTACTCCTATATAAAATTAATTAATTAATTAATTAATTAATAGTGATCATATAACAATGTTGCTCAAATATTAAGTGGTTACTTGCATAAAATATTTTAAAGAATTAAGATAACAAATATAAATCAAAACAATGAAGAGTCGCTTTAATAAACCAATCAAACCAGCAACAAATATAACATAATAATCATAGTGATCAAAAAGAAACATACATATATATACAGAGTAGAAAATTAGGTAACATTTTTTCAATTCAATGTATTAATGCCTAATTTTCTAAAATTAAGAAAAATCACATGGAATATAAACCCTTCAAAGACCTATAAGGAAATGCTTGCATTAATTTGAAAGAATAATTCATAGATATTAAGATGTCTCATATAGTAGAATGAAAAACATTAGCAAATAATTATAAAATATCATTTTTACCTCAGAGAAAAAATATCAATACCTATCAGAAATGGATAGTGAAAAAATGATCACTTAAGACATCATACACAATATATACTGTTTTGTTTTAATTTTGCAAACCAACTCAAGGAAATTTACAACTGCCAAATTATACCCATTGGGCCAATTAATAGTTTTATTTACTAAATATTTCTATCAAATTCGCACAAATGTCTCTCCTTTTATTCTATAATTGCTCATTCTAGAAACACACATTACTTTATTCCTCCTAGGTTTGCATAATACTTCCTAACTCCTCTAGGCAATCAATTGAAAAGAGACATCTCTGAATCATTCTACTTATCAGATCCCCCAGTAAGAATTGAAATAAAATCCCAATACTATGCTTCAGTATCCATTAGTCATTAGCCATGTGGAGTTGTTGAGTATGTCACATGCACTTAGAGGATAAAGCACATGTGCTTAGTGGATAAAATAGAGCAAGAATTGGATTTTTAATTGTATCAAGTCTTAATTAGTTTATTTGTCATCACATGTTGCTAGTAGCTACGTTTAAGTCTGTGAAGCTCTAGACATTTATTTTTTCCAGTACTATGCTCTTTAGTTAGTTTTGGAAGCAAAATTGATCAATATCGAAATGACACACTGCCTCTCTCTGATAGATATTTCAGATAAGAGATAAAAACACTATTAAGTAACATCCAGACCCTGAGCAAGGCTGTCTTCACTGGGGTAACTCAGAATGGGAGCTGGTTGAATTCCCCCTCGCCCAACAGAGCCCTGGCAGCCAAAACCCTCCAGAACCCAACCACCACCATGCCCATGGCTGCTCTCCACAGGTTCAGACGAGTTTTACCCATGAGGGAACCTGCAGAAAAGAAAAACCCGGGTATGCAGGACCTATGACTGAAAATTCCAAGCCCACTCCAAGCTGGATTGGGCCACCTTCTCCGTCTCCCAAGTTTACCAGTAATTTGGAAGTCACAACCACAAAATTTCCCCTGGTGCCATATAATCTTATCAGTGGTCATGATCCAGAGACTCAGAAATAAAGCTCCTTGAAGAGAGCAATATTGGCCTCACCCATGAGTGAATCTGCTGTATGATCATTTTCTACATTTTAGAATTTCTGGAGCACATGACTGTGAATGCTCTACACCACTGATGCAACAATATTTGTGGGGTCCACGATTTGGTATTTAGGATAGAAACCTTCAAAATGTGGTGGAGGGAAAGGTGCAATGGTGGTGGGATTGGTGTTTGAATATTAAATGCAATGAATTATTGTGAACAACCTTATAAAATAAAATATACAAAAAATAGTATTAAGTAACTGGGTAGCCTTTACATTCATTACAATATGAGTCAAACATTTGGTTAAGACAATTTTAACTTAAGACAATGGATATTTATTTATCATAAATGAATAACTTATTTAAAACAATAACTAATTCTTCTTTAAGGAAAATGCTTCCCTACAGGTTAAATCCAGGAGGTCATGAGATAATAATTAATTGCTAAGTAACATGAAAGATAATCTTAACTATTAATACTAATTTCAAATATACTTGTGACTACATATTTTGACATACATATTTTTATTGAATTAGTGAATTTTAGTATTTGCATTTGCTTATACTAATAATTCATTTCCAGTATATGTGAGCTTGCCATTGCTTTGCTAGAATATTCACTGTCTGTCTGTCTGTCCTCCCATTGTTCATTGAGTTGTTCGAGCAGGCCCAGTAACGTCTTCATTGTGAGACTTGTTGTTACTGTGTTTGGTATATTGAATACATCACAGGGAGCTTGCCATGTTGGCGAGATACTCTCGGTAGATTGCCGAGCTCTCCAAGAGGGGCCGAGGAATCGAACCCAGCTCGGTTGGGTGGGCTGCATGCAAGGCAAATGCTCTACCACTATGCTATCACTGCAGCTCGCCTGAATATTACTAATAGTTATTTTGTTAACATCCATATCTCCGTCTTCTTTAGTCTAATTTATCTATTCTCTACATAACTGTCCCTCACAGAAAGTGGATTTATAATTATTTATCATTTGCAGTAATATAAAATGATAAATACTAAAACTTCCTACTACTTTCATTAACTCCTAATACACTCCTTTTTTTTAAACAACCCAGCACCCAAGTTTCAAATAATCTCTCTTCATTGTCTCTAACATAGATCACAATTTTTCTACAAGAACTTAAAATTCACCTACCTTAATCTTATCTTTCTGTGTCATTCTTGAATGAGCTTTCATTCTACCATTTTTATGAGAAAATTGCTTTTATTCTCATTTAGCCTAAGAGAAGATAGTGGATTATAGCCTGAAGCTTGTCACCAATTTATAGAACTCTCATCAAAGGCAGGAAATCAGGAAACATATCAACAAAGACAAATAGAGGATAAGTAGGGCACTTTTAATTCATATACACATGGATCACATTTCATTATAAAACCCTAGGATTTCAGGTTAAAATATAAGGAACAAGACAAAATAAAATATGCAAGAAATAAAGAAGCCAGAAGCAAAGGAAAAATAAAAGCTAGAGAG